AAAGTACAAATGTGATCATGGTACTTTGATGAATCTTCTCAGTCCTCTGGATGAAGAGCAAAACTCTTTAACATGGTTCACAAGGCCCAACATGATCTGGCCTATGCCTACTCCCTCCAGCCTTACCAACCTTTATTCTCCTACAAGGTTTGGAGAATGAGAGTAAGCATGCATGTACCAGACCAAGACTCAGTACCTTTACACATTCTGCCCCAGCCTCTCCGTGGGTTAACCTTTCTCCTCACCCTGCTCCCAGCCCTACTACTATTCATCCAGCCAAGGCCTACTTTTCATACTGTAGTAAGTTTAAACATCATGTCCCCCAGGGATGTCAATCCTGACCAATGACTCTGGCTCCCACATGTTACCAAAGCACCCTATTTACCGGTTATTTTACTCCTTATCACACAATATTTCAACTATTAATCCAGCTGGTTCCCCCACTGGGGTCTGGAATACGAAGAACAAAGTGGTGTTTTTAATACTCTCTGCTTCCCTAGAACTTAAAACAGTGGTTGGTTTGCCCTAGCTTCTCAACGGATATTTTAAAAATGGACAGATTCAATCAGTACCAGTGCCAATCCAATCCAGAGAATGGACGTATACCGTTGAAGAAGACAAGCCATTTCTAACCTTACAGAGCTTACAACCTAACAGGAAACAGGTAGGCAAACCAAATCTAATTACAATTTGAAATATATTCTATGAAGGAAATAAATGGGCCACTTTTTAGAGCAGTTAAGGAAGGGTTAACTAAGGAGACATTTACATTAGGATTTGAAAGCTGAAAAAAAGAGTAGGCTAAACCCCTCTATTTTTTTTAAGATTCCTTTCTGTACTTCAGGTGGATAACCAGGCAGTGGGCCAACGAGTGACTACGACGAGCTCGCGTACGTTGTTAGACGTCAGAAGTGCGGTGAAACATGCAACTAGAGAAGTACACAGTCGGTTTCTTCCATATTCTGGGATGCCTCCGGAGAGCCCCCCCATCCCTGACCCCTCCAACCCCATCCAGGACTCTCCTCTCTAGGGCTCCAATTTATGCCCCGTCGACTCTCGCACCCGGTCTCTAGTATCAGCTCCCAGGGCTCCTCTCCATTCCCCGCCCCCGTCTTTGTCCGAGGTTTCTCCGTTCAGGACTTTTAGCTTCCTCCCCTCCCTCTTCCTGGGCCCGGCTCTTGCCTCTGTGAAACCCCCATAAGTCGTCTGGTAGAACTCATCTTCCTCCTCTGCCTCCAGAAGCCCAGAAAGCCGGTTCCCCGCGGTCTTCCGGGGGGCCCGGCCCCCAGCCAAACTCATACCGCCTACCGAGACTGCGCCGCTACCAGCGACCCCTCACCCAGTGCGGCTATCGGAGCTCGGCGCTCGACACCACTACCTGCGGGTGGCAGGCGGCGGCGGAAGCCCGTCCTCCACAGGCAGAAGTAGCAGAGCGTCGAGAGGCTTCCAGTCGCGTCTGCCAAGCCTTCTTCACTCTGCAGCCCCGCCCACTGGGGGACGCGGAGACCACCCCCAAGCTCCCCGCCCTAGCTCGCGCGAACCTGGGCTGTGGAATGATTCGACTTGGTGTCACCTGGAGCCTCACTATCCTAAGTCCAGAATTTGGGAATCAACAAATTTTCACTTGTTAGAGGTCAGACCCCCCCCCCAATCCGTTTTCCAGTCTGCTTCTAGTAGTGAACCTTTCTAAAAACGCAGACTTTGTCACTCTTCTGCTCAAAGATCTTTAATGGCTCCCTAGCATCTACAGGTTCAAGTCCAAAATCCTTGAGCCAGAATGGTAGTGTGGTTAAGAGCATAGCTTTAGAGCCAACCAGACTTGAGTTTGAGTTTAAGGTCTTCTAGCTGTGTGATTTTGGACAAGTGGCGGAATCTCGGTTTTCTCATCTGTAAAAGTGCGACTGGGGGCGCCTGGGCTCGTTCAGTGGGTAGAGCGTGCGACTCTTGATATCAGGGTTGTGAGTTCAAGCCCCATTTGGGCAAGGAGCTTACTTAAGAAAAATAATAAGATGGAACTAATAATATCTGCCTTTTAAAGTTGTTGAAAAAGGGGTGGGGGGAGGGGGTGGCTGGGTGATGGACATTGGGGTGAGTATGTGTTGTGAGCGCTGTGTATTGTGTAAGACTGATGAATCACAGACCTTACCTCTGAAACAAATAATACCTTATATGTCAATAATAAAAAGAATAAAGTTGTTGAAAAGGTTAAGAGATATATTCCTTGTAAGTTGCTTCACACAGGATTTAGTAAGCACATAGATGGTTTAGTAGGTGATAACTACTATTAACACGGCATTCAAGATCCTTAATAATTTGACCTCTCCCTGCCTTTCTAGCCTCACCTCCTGCCTCATCCTGTCCTAGCATCACCTCCCAATTCTCTGTCGTGCCTGCATGCTTTTCCTTCTCCTTAAGATTATTTCCCTATCTTGTATACCTGGCAAAATTCTGGTTCTATGGGATGGTGAAGTCTTCTCACTCACCCACCTCGCTTCCTGGCACAGTTTCCATAACCATGGAGGTCATGCCTCCTCAATTCTCCAGAGTAGTTCCAATATCAAACAGTCTGTGGTATTGTCAAGACCCTGTGTCAACTTCTCCTCCCATCTCTTATTCTGAATATATGGTTGTCAAACCATAGTACCTGTATGTGCTCTATGATGGCAGCTATTACATTTTATTCTAATGATTTATATGTCTACCACATTAGCCTGGTACCTTTTTGAGCGCAGGGACTTTATCTTCATCTGTGTATACCAGGAATTCTCATAGTGCCTAGGGCATAGTGGGAGCTAAATAATGTCAATTCAATGAATGAATTAATGAATGACTAATTGAATGAATAAGACACTCATCCTCTCATTTTGCATCTAGGTTGATCTTGCCTGCCCCTAGCCCCTCCATTCCGACTTTAGGAACTGTTCTAAGACATGAAGGTCACTTTAATAAAGCTCTGTGTGTGTGTGTGTGTGTGTGTGTGTACGTGCGCACACACACATTATTTCTGCTAAGTTTGTATATGGGCCCTATTTTGAGATCGCCAGATTTTCCAAAGTATATGTTGAACTCTCTTTTCAATTTCCTTGGGGGCACCAAGCCAGCATGTCCTGCTTTGCCTCTGCTTCCACACCCTGCCACGTCACCCCAGTTCTGCTATGCCAGGAATGTTACTGGGGAAGAGTGGTTCTGTGACTCAGAGGACACCCCAGGGATTGAGTGGGAGTGGAGGCAGAGACAAGGTATGGGAGAAAAGATGGGAAACGCCCCTAGCCCCACTTTTTGAACTTTGCCTTCATCCATTCATATATTCAGGAGACATGTATTATGCACCTGCTTTGTGCCAGGCACGATTCTAGATGCTTGAGATCTAAAAATGGATAAGATGTAATCTTTGCCCTGAAATGTTCAGTCTTAGGAGGGAGACAAACTAATAAACAGACTGACAATCCAAGGTAGTAGGAGTAATAGTAGCCATTTTCTGGTACATAAAGAGAAGCAAAGATCCCTAAGAAGCTACAAAATAGGGATCTCTTTTCAGGAGGGCTGAAATCAAATACACTGATCAAATCCCAGGGAGAAGATCCCCATCTGACCTACTGCCTTGGTGAGTCAGGGCTTTATTGGTCTCTTTCCAATTTAAAATCAGAAACAGCTTTATATCTACACCAGCTGATTTCTAAAATAACTCAGGAAATGGTAGCAGCTCCATGCTTTTTATGAAAACAAGGATAATTTATTCAACAAATATTTATTTATTGAAGACCTATGAGCGAAATCCTGTGCTAGAGTGTGCTCCCACTGTCTAGTTCCTGTACTGTTTAGTTGGGTGGAGCGGTATAGGCAATTGTAAAATACTTTAGTGTCACACAATTCCATTGCTATGGAATGAAATGGCAACCCAATCATGTGAAGTTTGTCTACCTTCAGCACCCAAAGGAGTATGACTAATCCAGCAGGTGGCAGCAGGGAAACAATTATTTTAATCTTGATGAGATTGGCGTAGAAGGCAGAGGTAAATAGGCAGGGGGAGTTTGGGCTTTCGGGTCCTAGGTTCCCTTTCTAGAACCTGGAAGACACCCGGATAGAGGATAACCAGGGCATGTTGGGGGCTACAAAAGCAAGATGCCCCCCTCCATTTCTCTTCATTTATTAATTCCACAAATAATCGAGTCTCTACCATGTGCAGAGTCACAGATAGGAGAAGCTGGAAATACAAGAGTGAAACAGTCTTTGCTTACAGTCGGATCAGGGAGAGACAGGTCTTAAGATCCCCACCTGGGTTCATAATCTCCAGGGTACTTTGTTAAAACTGAGCAGCGTTAGTCCGCACACTAGACTAGAATCGTGTCCCCATGCCCTTTGGTGCACACATTAACAGAGTTGAGTAGTTAAGGGCTTGCTTGGATCGCGGGAAGACTCTAAGAAGGTCTGATTACTTTCCGTGGCCCTTTCTGACAGGTCTTCATTCATTCATTTATCAGATATTTACAGCATTCCATAATGGTGGCGAGCATTGCGTTTGAAGCAAAGTGTAGATCTGTTTTTAACGTCATTCAGAGGAAGGCAAGACGGCCGCGCACGTTATAGTAAACAAAGCAGTAAAGCCGGAAGAATATTTAGTCGCATGTGATGTTTTGTGATATTCGAGTGCTTAATATCTCTGACGTGACAACAGCGCTTTTGTCGGGAGTTCTTCCCTGGGCTCTAAAATTGAGGGGCGGCGGGGCGGCGGGGCGGCGGGGCGGCCTCTTCACTTCCCTCGAGCTCCGGCAACTCAACGCGGTCCTTTCGCAGAGCCGAATATAAACTGACCCACCGAGCCACCGTAGGGACGGTCTACAGTCGGAGAGGGCTTGTCTTCCACCGGTGGATTCGTTAGGGCGTGGGGAGCCCGCATCATATGACCAATAGCAGCCCCCCCGATTGGCTCTCACGGACTCCCTCTCTTCCCGATCGAGGGGGCTGAAACGTTGGAAAGGTTCAACGCATGCGCAGTTCCCGGATTTCCCTAGCCACCCGGAGTGGAGCGGTGGGGTTGGGCAATAAACAGGCTGTGGCTAGGGAGGAGGGGTGGGGGCATTCGTTCCGTTGGGACTTTTCACGCCCCCTTATTTCTTTAGGTGTGGTTAGGTTCAGACGCGGGGTCCTGGCAGAGGCTTGAGCCTACTGTCTTGTGAAAGGGGAAAGAAGCTCCCGAGGAGAGCGGTCGAAGTTGCGGAGAGGGTGCGAGACGGGAGTTCTCCCCTATGCCAGCCAAATGGTGCGGCCCTGAGCTGTTTCACGACCCGGCCCGACGTGTCTGAGAGAGGCCCCGGAGGGGGCAGGGAGGCGGCCCGCAGAACGCGGGTTCTGGGAAGAGACGTGGAGAAAATTCGATTCGGAGAAGAGGAAGAGCTCGATTGAAAGAGAGCGAGGCCGCTGAGGGGGAGGGGGCTGCCAAGATGGCGTCGGCCTCCTCTGGGCCGTCGGCGGCCGGGGTTTCATCCTTGGATCCCGCGATCCCTTTCGGCGCCTCGTCCTCAGGTAATCAGGGCGGGGCGTGGACAGGGGTCTGATGACTGTTGTGCGATGGGAACGGGAGCGAGACCTGGGAGGGCACCTGTAACTGGGGATGTCCGAGGAGTTGCCGGTAAGGAGGACAGAGGCCGGGCTTTCAAATAGGGCTTTCTGGGCGGACAGGGGGAGTCTGAGGAAAGGTTGGATTTGGTTGAGGAAAGGGAGGCTGTCAGAAACACTAGCTGTCTTCGAGGAGACCTAATTGGGGACTTGAAGTAGTGGGGTTAGGAAGGGATGGAGATTGAAGGTGGGGGTAAGAGGGAAACAAGGGAAACCGAAAGGAGCGGAGAAAACTAAAATAAATGGAGGCTTCATAAGTAGAGAGAGGAATTAGTGTGAGAGGCAGGTGGAATCCAAGTTATGGGGTTAATTGGATTAAAAATGTGGAAGAGAAGCCATGGAGTTGAAACATGTTTAAGAGTTATGTGACGCTTTCTTTCGATTGCTGCGGAGTTAGGGAACTGTGGATTTTGTTGGGGGTGGCAGTTGAGACATCTTTTTCCTTAGAGACTCCCGTTCATGCGTCATTTCTTCTCACTTAGTGCCCCCCCCGCCACGCGCACGCACTCGTACACACATATATGTTCTATCAAACACCCTACTTCGATGATTCTCATTTCTAGACTGCCCAATTTTGAGAAGGAATGGAACGTTTTGAAGGAAGGTGGAAAAAAGACCCTAAAAACAGGCTGAGAGAGATTATGTTGGGAATTAGGCCTGGGAAGGATGGTGTGGTTGGGGGAGGTGGTTCTGCGTGCTGTGGGGCAATATTGCATAATAGGAAATGGACTGGAAGAATGCTTAGGCTGTATCAGGAAATTGGCACTTGGAGAATGGAGCCAGGGAACATAGCTCAAAGTAGTTAGAAACTATTGGAGATTGAGGGAGGGCCAGGAGCCCACCAGAAAAGCAACAGATTGTGTGTAGGACGGCAAATGTGTATAAGCGTGGGGAGAGGGGTGGAGATTGAGTCAGAAACTGTTCTAGAGCTTCCATCAGAAATGTCTGGTCTTCCACAGCGACTATTACCTCTAAATTGTGAACAGGAGAGGCTGCCGGATGTTGGATGCAGTACTCGAGATGTTGACGTTTCCTTATGCCTGGGATTTCATCCTTGCCTTTTGAATTGGCTAAATAGAAGGTTCCACCTTTCATATTCCAGCTGGGATGAGTACGGCTACATGGTCACAGATACCTTCTTCATAAGCTGCAGTTTTATTTATGTGCATCTATTTTTAGTTTCTTGAGAGGTGATTTTTGCCTTTCCTGTAAAAGCATTAGAGGACCAGAGCAACTCATGTTGCATTTTAAGTGTGAAGGATGAAGTAAAATGACAGGTTTTTTTTATAGAGTAGTTCCTTAATTTAAAAACTTTTCTTTCCTTCCCCAATGCAGAAAGAACAATGGTTGTGTGTAGTCCTTAAACTTAACTGTCAAGTTAGGTATTTTATTAGAAACCACGTTAACCTTAAAAACGATGAGTTTATATCCTAAAATTTGATTCAGCCTCTATCTCATGGAAGTACTGGCCATGTGGACAGATTTAGGAGTAAAGGAAATATTTCTTTGTCACTTTTTTTTTTAAAGATTTTATTTATTTATTTGATAGCGAGAGAGGGAACACAAATGGGAAGTGGGAGAGGGAGAAGCAGGGAGCCCGATGCAGGGCTCGATCCCAGGACCCTGAGATCATGACCTGAGCTGAAGGCAGCCGCTTAACGACTGAGCCACCGAGGCGCCCCATCTTTGTCACTTATTGATACATCTTTCTCCTCTTCCATCTCTGCTCCTGCTTCAGATAGTCCTCCTATCTTTTGCAGATGTCACTGTATGATATTTTTATGTTTTTATGTTTTCTGCCAGCCTAGGGCTGGCAATTAGTAATTCAGATTGCATAAATGTTTTTGTCCTATTGTGTTTTCACCAGAAAATAAAATATTAGGTTTCAGTGGACCTTACAGCTCCTTGACTCCACTGTGTTCATATGAGAAGTCAAGGTATAAAAATGTTTAAAAATAGTTTTAGATTCCTATTTTTACTTTTGTTTCTTACACCTTCCCTCTTTGCTTCTTTGACAAATATTGAAGCAGTTGGATAAAGAAATTAAGAAAAATTCTGTTTGTAAATATTCCTGAAAACCTGATGGGATTTTTGTGTCCAGATACACAGTGTTGACTTTATTTGTGTATCTGCACTTTCACTTAGGTTTGGGCTTAGTAAATTTAATTTAGTAAAATATTTCATTTTAAGGATATGATTGAAGAGGATAGAATATTTGATTCTGATGCCAAAAAACTATTAAAAATGGGGTTTATTTTTATTTTAATTTTTTAAAAATGGGTTTTATTTGTGATTGAAGGTGAGTGTTGCTGTATCTGGATGATAGTACCAGGGGGATTAGGACATTGACAGGAATGAGTGATGGTTTATGATTTCCTAAATTGTTAAAGGCAACAAGGCTGGCCTTGTAGAAATTCGAGGTGTGTGTGTGTGTGTGTGTGTGTGTGTGTGTGTGTGTGTGTAACCATTCTAAAACCAGCTTATTGTTCTTATATGGTTAGCTGAACTCAAATTTTGGTGAAACTCTGAAATCCTAAAGGCAAGATTCTTTGGCAATGTTGAAAATAGATTCAAGATAAGAATGTTAGGATTCAGGGACAAATATACTAATGTTTCAGATAAGCCACTCATAACCTTCGGAGGCTCAGAATCTTTTGGCATTCAAGTTAGGAAGGACAGATTATTTAGAACAGTTGTTCCTGTCTGGATTATTTTACCATCAAGGCAGAGCTGGTCTTTTATACTGCTGATAAGTGAAATACAGATGGTAGATCAAACCATACATTCTAAGAGATGTTTGACATCTTTTCCCATTGGAGTAATTACCATGTTTGGATTTGAGGGAGGCAGTTATAAATGAGTATCAGCTTAGAGAAGTCATCATCATGTGTTTGTTCTTATACTTTGTTAATAAAAATTGATGCAGTTTGCCATCTAGTCTCAGCTGTTTGGTGTGTAAAGGAAATTTATTCCTTCTTTTGCTTTCTCCCCCATCCTTATTATTTGGACAGTGGCACCACTTAAAAATAAAATTAGCCCTGAAGAGGTGCTGTTGACAGTATGACCATCTGTCACACCAGTGTGCAGAGTCTGTTTCCCTATCTGTAATTTGACTAGTTTATCAGGAGCTTGAAATTCAGGGCCGCCTGGCTGGCTCAGTTGGTAGAGCATGTGACTCGCTCGATCTTAGGGTTGTAAGTTCAAGTCCCACATTGCTGTGTAGAGATTACTTAAAAAAAAAAAAGAAAAGCTTAAAGTCAGGTACTAAGTCCCTTTTTTTTGCTACCAGGAAGGGGGTAAAGAGTTTCTGTTTTGGAGACTTGATTTGAAGTTTGAAGGAGTTAGAAAATAAAGTTAGAATGCTAAAGTGTATACTGCTCCTCTGAAATAAGAGCTGTTTGATAAAATCAACATGTGACTCCCCCAAGGAAAAAGCACTTGAAACATTAGAAGATCATGAAACTGTAGTTCCTTTTTGTTTCAGACCAGAACATTTCTGAAATTGTCACCCTTCACCTATATGATTTTATCATAAGCACAAATGATTTGGAAGTAACTTTACAGCTCCTTTCCGACTGTATTTTACTTAACTACTGAGGGAAACCCCAGAGGACACAGGACTGAGCATTTTTGCTTGGGGCCTTTATCAAAGGGCCAGCCTCATCAGTCCCTGATTCTGGTGGTTTTGTTCTTTCTAGAAGAGCTTCACCAGTAAATCATGCTCTAATCTGGTAACACCAAATGGTAGGGATTTTGTAGTTTTTTTGGTCTGTGTTCTTTGCATCCAGTGTAAAACATTTGTAGGCTGATCTTCTCCCTTCAATTCTTCCATATTAGTGAAAAGTAATACAACTTAAGTCACTTTACTAGAGTGATAAACTGAAATTTGGAAATGTAAATATAGAACAAAATATCATGTAGTCAGAATATCACCAGGTACCATTTTGGTTGACATTTTATAAGTAGGTAGAAATGTTTCTGTTTGCTTTTGACATGGGATTTTGACATTTCTTTTTTTCTTTTGTTCCCTTGGTAGATTTTGCCAGAAAACTGATATCAGAATGTCATTGTTTTTGATTAACCTTTTTTTTAATTTTTGAAAAAGATTTTATTTATTTGAGAGAGAGTGAGAGAGTGCGGTGTGTACACAAGCAGGGGTGGGGGTGTAGAGAGAAGAGAGACTCTCAAGCAGATTCTGCGCTGAACGCGCTGAAAACAGAGCCCGAGGCCAGGCTGGATTCCAGGACCCCAAGATCATGACCTTAGGCAAAACCAAGAGCCGGATGCTCGACTGACTGAGCCACCCAGGCACCCCTGATTAACCATTTATTTCTGCCATGGCTGCCCAAGCCTCGTCAAGTATGATTATATAGATTTATTAGGTATCCAGTATCTGATAGTAATTGGTAATAATGGACTGATAAGTTAGCTTTGGATATCAAAATAATATGTTTTGCTTGTTAGTTTCTGTATGCTGTTTTGGGTTGATATAAAAGTTTTCATAACTTTGCTCAAACAGGTGCCAGCTACTAGTTATTACATATTTTATTAGCCTGTTTTTCTCCAATAATATAATGGAAACTATAGCCTGTGAAGTGATCAACAGAGATAACACCAGGCCAAAGACAGAACTGGGGATAAAGAAGGAAGGTGTTTATTTTATCCTTTAAGCCGGATATTTTCTTTCCTAGAATTTTTGGATGTTCTGACTTGACATAAAGAAAGCAAGAGCAAAGTTGTTAGTTTCTTCTTTTTCCTGGGTGTATTTCTTGATCACAAATAAATGTATATTTCAGGAAGTATGCTATTTTCTGATAGCCTGGTAGAGGGAATCTCTATTTCTCAGTATTCCAAACCCCAGCCCACCATTCAGTCTCAAAGAGAGAGTGTTTGGGATGATGGTATTT